TCTTGCATGGACGAATGAAAGAAAGAGCGAGCATGGCAATACTTTTGTGTGTGCGTGTATGTATGTGAGTGGCTTTAAGCATGAGAGCGAGTGTATAGGTGTGTACATGTGTATCTGGGTGTATGTATGTGTGCGTGCGTTCGTGTGTTTATGTGTGTGTTTACTTACAAGCATAACTAAGTTTTTGGACACGGTCGTAAATTACACATGTCTAAACACAATTGAGGCCTACAGTGTTCCCCAACATATAGGGAAAATAGAACGGATGAATTTAGTCAATGAGGGAAAAAAACAATAACAATATTTATGTTGGGATTGCTAATGAGATGTTTTATCGTCATGATGGGACGGCGTGGCGTAGCGGTGGAGCTCAAGACCCGAGAGTCTCGAGTTCGAATCCGGGTTCAAGTCAGTAGAACGAGCATGAGTCCACCCAGCTTTGATGGGTACCTGACTCTCGCTAAGGAAAGTAAAGGCTGGGTATAATGTGGATCACACTATGTCTTCATATGCCGAGGTCACAGAAACAGGTGAACTCTACTTTTACTTTTTTCGTCCCACACACACGCACACACACACAAACACCAACCCACCCCCTCACCAACCCACACCCACTCACCCCCACACACGTGCACTCCCACATACAGACCCACAAGCACACGCATAAACACACATACACACACACGCACAAACACCATCCACCTACACACCCACCCCACACCCACCCACACATACACACCCATCCACTCACACCCACACACACACGCAAACACACACGCACACACACGCATCCGAAGACAAACACGCACACCCACACACACACCCATACCAACACCCACACACGCACATGCAAACGCACACACACTAATATAAAATAAATACAAACCTATACACTTGACTGTGACTTGACCATAAGTCACACTTTCTTGATGAGAAGCATTGCTAAGCGACGTAACATGCATTATGTTAATGCATGTTTTTAATTATTTATCCTTATTGTACAAGACGTCTTTTGTTGGGGTTTTTTTTTGTGTTTAATTTTTGTTTGTTCTTGTAAAAATAAAATTATTTTTTAACATTATTTAATATAAGCCTTTATGACTTAGTATAATGTCTACTTTTGACAGTTGTTTCTAGGCCTAGAGAATTAATGAGATTTCAATGAAAAACAAGTTAATTAAAAAGTCTAGTGACATTTAAGCGCAATTTCCTTATGTTATCTAAAAATAGCTCTGTCGTAGCGTAAATCAAGAGCAGGGTTAGTAAAACCATTGGTTAAAATACATGTTTTATTTACAATAGAGTTACATGACTAAAAACCATTGCGCGCCTAGCTACTGAACGTGATGACGCAGCCATTGAACGTGATGGCGCAGCTATTGAACGTGATGACGCGTGTGGTGTGGTTGGATAAAAATGCCTACTAATTCGGTCCAAATTTTAATTAATTCAAAAAAATTTTTGTGACCGAACGAAATGATATTTTTGAAAACTTTCTTCGGCAATATTGTTCTAAATTATGGCAGGAATCGATTGGTACATGTTTCAAGTCGCTAAGTCGTCTGGTTGCCGAGATATGGGCAAAAAACTGCATTTTTTTCGAGGTTTTTTGGCTTTTCCGGGAAATCCATGAAAGAAACCCGGAATTTTTATGGCCTATGTTCATCCTCGTAACTTGCTTAACATAATTGCTTTGGAACTAGTCCTCGATATTGCTTCGTTGAGGAGGAGATACGACTTAAAGCTGCGGACACACATTCATACATCCATCCAGAAATGACGGGTTAATAAACGCAATTCTCCAGAATGGAAATTGCGCTAAAAAATGACTTCAAATTAGCCTCGGTTTTTATACCGGTTGAGGTACTTTATTTTTTGTAAAAATATATTGTTTTAAAATTTTAATTACCTACTTCACTATAAGGAAGAAGTCAGTCAGTCAAACGAAACAGGTTGGGCCGTTGAGCTCATTAATTAAACAAACGGTCGGTAGCACCTGCGATTAGATTAGATAATTAGTAGACTGTTATTGGCGTAAGCTGCCGAAATAAACTTTTTAAAATTTTAAAATAGTGGATCGGAGTAGAAAAGGATGCTAGACAGTTATGTGTTTCCACGGTGTGTTTGTTATCAATCAGAATATAGATTTTTATCTATTTTTTAGACGGAGATTGATTGGCTGTTATTTTATGTTATATAAATTTAATATAAGCATGAGTGACTGGCATGTACGTTTTGGCTTAGCTAGACTGTGAACCCGAAAGTCTTGAGTTTGAATCCGGGTTCAAGTCCCTTATTCCACTCAGCTCTGATGGGTACCCAACTCACGTTAGGGAAAGTAAAGGCGATTGGGCATAATGCTAACCACACTACCCCTTCATATGCCGAGGTAACAGAAACAGGTGAACTCTACTTCACTTGCCAAATGGACCGTCAAGTTCGAAAGGCTACTTTGCTTTGTGTGACTGAAACGGACAGCTTGATATTTTGAAGAAAACTTTCTTTTTCATTGAATACCTTTTTTCGGTTTTAGCATATACGTTTTTGGTATTAACTGAGTTGTCTTTTGGGTTTAGCAGGCCTGTCTTAGTTTTGAACAACATTGTTCTGGGTTTACATTCATGTCTAGGATTTTTGTAGACGTATATCTGTACTTTCTTGCTTGTTCCATGTGCCAGCTGTTTGATTCTCTCTTTCTTACGTCGGGGTAGAAAGGTAAGAGAGATCTTGTTAGGTTGACCCTTTTCTTTATACGTATACATTTACGTTTAAATCTTGAATAATTTAAATGCACGGTTAGATTATTCGTTAGTTATCGTCAACTGGGATCAGCAAAGGAATTGTGTAACCTGTTGCATGTTTTTTGTTGATATGTACCTGTTGTTGATATAAACAGGTATGTACATATTGTTGTACTGAACAATCTTGCTTAAACACCCCAGCCCTCGATAAAGTGATGGCTGTTTTGTACAACGCGACAACAGGATACTAATATACACATCCGTACAGAAAACAGTTGAACAGTGTGTAAGAGCTTTTGATGTGTGCGTGAGTACATAGAGAGATGTTAAATTTAATAAACGCAAAATCTGATTGTTGTTATCGGCGTATTCAAACAGTGTTTCAATGGGTGTTTTGATCAGAGTTTCTTCCAGGCATCTCCCCCCCGAAGAAAGTCTACCGCCCACCCCCCCCCCCCCCCCCGAAAATTTCAAGTGCCCCCCCCCCCCCCCCCCCGGAGAAAAAAAGTCTGGAAGAAACACTGGTTTTGATCAGACTGAACGTTTGAAAGACAAGGTAGTCTTGACAACATCATTCCTGTTAGTCTTCTTTCAATTATCTACCACCCACTACTGCTGTTACTTTACAGTGTACCTGACTAGAGAGATGTATCAAATACTTCATGCAGTACTGTCAAATGACTTGATGGTGTGTATGTTGTTCACATTTTGATCAGTGACAATCTCTACTGTTTAGATACATTTTTGTTAGACTGTTTAAACAATTCAAAAGTCTATGAAAATGTTACCATCATTATTATTACAAAAATCATCTGTTGTTTTTTTCCAAGTGTTTTTGGTAAACACTATCAGAAGATATGTGTATACGCTAAACTTCATTCAGCAATCAGTGGCGGAACTAGAAAAAAGGGGCCACCCCGCAAAATTTTTTTTAGCCCCCCCCCCCCCCCATATAAATATATGGGTCCATATATGTAGCCTATATATGTATGTATACATATACTCAAACACAAAATACGAATATAGGATACTTATTGCTGGCCTGCTCGTGTTATGAGAAATACGTGTTTTTTTTTTAAATTAAAACAAATTACAACATCATGTCATGTGTGTAAGTGCACTAGTCTGTTTTGTGAAAATCAGTTTTATATTATCTTAGCCGTATCACCTTTAACCTCTTATTGGTCAAAAGGATATAAAACATGAAAGCTTTCTGTAAATAATGGTGTCTCGTGTCATGTTTATTTTTATGTTTTTTTGTATTTTTTTATACAGTGTCATTCTTTAGTATGTAATTTATAAACAAATAATAAGAAAGAGAAGTAATTGCTTTTTAATTTGTTTAGTACAAATCTATTAAAACAAGGCTTATGAGCATCACTATTTGACTATTCAAAAAAGGGAAATAAGTCATGGAAGTGGTTTGAACGTTTGCTTATCTTTGATAAGTTTGTAGGAGAAAGAGGACTCGGCTTTCACAGTGGTTTAAAAACGAAGGAAAAATGAGCGTGGGGTGGTGTCTATAGAATAAAGATAATCCAACCGCAGCTACGGTAATCTTTTTTACAAAACAAACATTAAGTCAAAAATGCAAGATTTTTTTTTTAACTATAACAATTTTTTATGGTCGGCCGTGGGCCCCTAAATGGCGTGGCCCCCCCCCCCCCGCATTGCGGGGTCTGGAGGCACTGTAGTTCCGCCCCTGTCAGCAATGTCTCTGACAGATTCTGAAATTGAGATGGCAGGACAAAGTGTCAAACATAGACCTGTGGACAAGCCAGGAACACATGACAGTGCAAATAAGAAGGATGGAGTCGCACTGGGTGGGGGAACACACTACGAAGGGCTCACTCTAATGTGATACACCAGGCGCTGGAGTGGAACTCCCAGAGAGGGCGCCCAAGACAGTCCTCGGGGGGGGGGGGAGTCTTCTTGAAGAACTTAAGACAACAGGGGTGTCTTGGGAGATTGGAAAATCAACAGCAACAAATGTTATGGTTGAGGCCCTATGCTCCACAAAAGATAAGGATGACTAAATAAATAAGTATACGCTGAACAGATAAGGGCCTACCTGAACATTATGAAATGTATTTTACACTTTTTACATTTACACTTTGTTAGCTGTGAAGCTGCTGTTTACAAACCTTTTACCTGATGACTTACGTATATCAGTTCATGACTCATCAAGAAAGTGTCTTTAAAAATTTTGTGTTAATTAGGAGACTAAACGCAGAACAAAATAAAAAGTCAACAACAATGTTCACGCTTAGCTCACTTTGTTTTGTAAAACATTGATTAACAGTTGCATTTACAAACACTAGACATGTATGTGGCATACGAACTGTTTGTTATGTCAACATTATTTCCTTTTCATTATACCTGTAGATAAATGAAGATAAAAATAAAATATATTATATAAAATTATTTATATATATTTATATATTATATATTTTTATATTTATATATTTATATATTTATATACCGGTATGGAAGCATAATTTCTATACCTGAGTTTATACTTAAGTATGCTAATAGAAAGAAGTATACTTCTCAACCTTTCAAATTTAGAAACCTATATAATATATATCACCAAGTTATTCTCACGCATAGTTCCGTGGTAAAGCTTATGTAGTAGGTCTATCACAAACACCACACGTCAACAACAAAAAAATTTACCTTTGATTTCTTTAACATGAACTCAGCTAACCAAAGCATGGACACGGGTCAATGATACAAATATTGACACACAAGGGATTGGCTGTTGAACGGGGAAATGTCAAGAATAATTTATGATATCATTGTTGAAAATAGCCAAAGACAAAATATGACAGTCGCTAGTTTTAGGTGAATGTGATAATATTATAGCATTGGATATTGAGTGTTGATTTTTAACGTGGGTTTCCGAAGATTCAATATAAAAATTTAATGGCATTTTGGTTGCCACCGAAAAGCATTAAAATTATGGCATACGAGACTGGCTAGGGACGGGTAAAACCAAAAGATCATTAACTGCATTTAATGTTAGTCAATACGTTAGCGATCTTGATTTGAAACTGTTGAGAGATATCAGTTGTGTGGTAACATTATTACAAAGTTGTTTGTGATTTGATAACATCTTAACAAAGTTATAGGTCATTTTTTTTAAAGTCTGAAACATTTTATGTAAGTTAAAATCAATGTAAGATCATGGATGATTCATGAGATTTGATTCACGCATATTGTTGATAGATTAGAAAATGTAATGAAGCATTTGTGATTGTTTTTATTTTTAAAATTTGGAGAACATTAGTGATTTGAAAATACATTAATGCCATAAATGTCGGTATGACTTGTATGACTTTTAAAATGTGTAACATTTAACGTGTATGACTTTTAAAAATGTGTTACACTTAATTTTTACGACATCTAAAATGTGCGTCATTTTACGTGTATGCCTTTCAAAATTTGTGACATTTTATTTTTTGAGGCCTAAAATGTGTGACATTTAACGCATGTCTCCTAAATTTTGTGACATTTAATTTTTATGACATCTAAAATGTGTGACATTCTCGTGCATGACTTCCAAAATGACTTACCACTCGCGACAACAAAGAAGTAGCAGATTGTGGCTACAGCTACAGCAGCGGTGATGATGGCTTTCATCTTGTCGGTTTTAATGTCTTAATAAATTCAACAATTGCAGCTACGAACTGAAACGTTTTATAGCTGTTCAGAATTCTATAGTCGTGAATCTTTTTTTTTTAAATGAAGATTCTATTTTAATCTATAAATGCGTTAATTTTCTTATCAGTTTTTGTTTATTATCTACTGTAGGCCGGAGTTTGATAGAAGACTAGGCTAAACCGAAAAACACAGTTTCTTCAATTAGGAAATCTTAACGATCCAACGACTTATTTTCTATGTCAGTCAGGTAGTGCGCGTTGACTAAGGTGAAAGTATTGACATTTTAAAGAGTTTAAATTAATGGCAAGTGAAACAAAGAAAAACGAAAAAAAAAAAAAAAAAAAAAAACTTTGCAAACACCAGGACGATAGCAAACAAATGTAAATGACTACCGGCAATGGTGTTTGTTTAACTGACTAATACTTAGTAATAGGAAATCTCTAAATGCAAAGGTCTAAAAGTAAACAAGGGTTACTGCAACATGACAACATTTGAAAATATAGTCAATTTTTTAAAAATTAATTTGATAAAAGGATAGACAAACACGTAATACTTAATAGTTATTTGTTTTCATTCTAAATAAATGCACAACTTATACAAAAGAAAAGCAAATACACGTATTAGCATCTTTTTTTTTAATTTAAGGTTTTATATTACTAGTGAACGTTTTGAAACAACAGGCGTCTCTTTGGAAAAAAAAAAAAACTACATCAATTATTTTTTTGTGTGTAGGTAGGTAGTATTCTCACGGCAAACTACATGTATGCGATTACTTGATACAGTGTTTCTTCCAGACTTTTTTTCTCCGGGGGGGGGGGGGAGGGGGCACTTGAAATTTGGGGGGGGGGGGGCGGTAGATTTTCTTCGGGGGGGGGGGGGCGGACTCTGTTAAAAGTATATATTTTCTATATAAATTATATAAATTTCATTTCGTTCGGGGGGGGGGGGGGGGGGGGGGCGGTAGAATTTTTTTTTGGGGGGGGGGGGCTATGCCTGGAAGAAACTCTGACTTGATACATCTGTAACTGCAGCCACATGAACTGAAATAAAAACAAATCTGCGTTGAAAATACAATCAAAATGTTACAAGACATAGAATTTATGAGTTTATTTATTGTCAGCGTTCTTGTGTGTATGGGCGACTGAGAGAAAGAGCGAGCATGGCTTTATTTTTGTGCGTGCGTGTATGTGTGTGAGTGGCGTTATGCTTGAGAGCGAGTGTGTAGGCGTGCGAATGTTTTTGTTAGTGTATGTATGTATGTGTGTGTGTGTGTGAGTGTTAACTTACAAACAAAACTGAGTTTTTGGACACGGTTGTGCAGCACACATACTCAAACACCAACTTGGCCTACAGTTTTCGCCTACATATAGGGAAAAAATAGAACGTATGAATTTAGTCAATGAGAAAAATAAAGCAGGAGTGATCTCCCCTAAACTTTCTCGTATATTCTTATATAACACGACGGGGGATGTCAACTGGGGATATAGATCTAGTCATGATTTTAAATCAATTTTTAATTACTTAAACTTTTTAAAAATAGAATAGAATCTTGTAGAAAAAAGAATAGCACACCAAATGAACAGCACACAATGTCACGAGTTCGAATTCGTGTTCAAGTCAGCAGAACGTCTTTGAGTCCATCCAGCTCTAATGGGTACCTGACTCACGCTAGGGAAAGTAGAGGCTGGGTATAATGCGGACCACACTTTCCCTTGATAATGATATGCCGAGGAGGTCACAGAAAGGTAAACTCTACTTTAACTTTTTTACTTTCTCGTATACAGAGTATAGAGGAAGTATTGTAATCGTGAACAAAAATCACATGCAATTGTGACAGTTTTCATCATTTTCCACCTCAGTACTTCAGTACATTTATACTAAGTATAGTGGACTTATTTTAATCGGGCAAAAATTATAAATGCAGATTCATCAAAACTTATCAAAGTTTAGGGGAGTTCACTCCCGTTTAATTGTTTCTAAAAATAGTAATTACGAGATAGCCACTTCACAATCGTATTTCCGGCTCCGCTTTGAGTTGTTTACAAACAAAGCTTGTTTGGAGACGGATTTAGTCAGCTGTACCATCACAAAAAGAAAGAAGAAAAGATGAGCGTTTTTGATAAATACACAGGGAAAAACTTTTCTGAGAGTGCTGATACGTATAATTCTATTTTTGCACATTTCGACTCAAACAGGTAGAATTCTAGACTCTAGATCGGCCTAACTATTTTAAAAAATTAAATCTTCTTTGTCTTGTACTTTGTAGACTTGTAGACTTAGACGTCACTTGTAGATCTAAATCTAGTAGCAGATTAAGAGTTGACTAAATAAATTTTGGGTAATCTATCGTTTTAGGTACGTAAAATCGGCCGAGGCTAGTAATGTGAAAAAAGGGTGACTCATCAAATTTCTGTAATTATTTCACATTTTTAGAAAGATTTATGTTGTAAAAGTTTTACAGAAATGTTCAAACACTTCATTCATGTAGGCTTACCTGTTTTTGAACAATTGTATTAAAACTTTTCATAATAAATATTAAATAAAGATTAGCAATGTTTTCATCAGACGCAACCAAGCTCATTTACTTTAGAAGCCATCTTGTTTAAGTTTTTTGTAACATTTAGGTAGAGATTCAAGGGAAACCACTCTAATTTACAGATGGCCACTGTTTATATACCAAATCTTGCTTCGAAAACAAGGACAGGGCTGTTTAAAGTCAATTTCTGGCCTTTGATATATTTAAACATTGCTTTTGGTTTATTATTATGTATTATATTTGACACAAAAATATAATAATATACTTGTATTAAAGCCATATTAATGAGCCACCTTTCTCGCACATTACTAGCCTCAGCAGATTTTACGTACCTAAAACGATAGATTACCAAATTTTGGTAGGCTTAATCATTAATCTATTGTTTCTTTAGGTAGCATTCATAAAATTGGCCAAGACTAGTAATGTGAAAGAAGGTGAATCATTAGATTTTAGTAATTATTTCACATTTTCAGGAGGATTTATGTTTTTATTGTTACAAAACATGTTTGCTAAGTTTCATTAACTTCATAATCATTAAAGTACCTGTTTTTAAACAATTCATGAAAGTTAATTTATTGCCTCTATTGATATATTTAGCCATGCTTTTGTTTTATTTTTCAGTTATCTATACTATTTGACACAAATATATAACAATATACTTCTATAAAGCTTTAACAATGTGAGGCAACGTTTTTGCATATTACTATCCTCGGCTGATTTTACGCACCTAAAATGATAGATTACCCAAATTTTAATAATAGATTTAAATAGATTAATAGTTAGGCCTATTTATATAAAATATAATTTAATTTATTTATATAAATAATAATTTAATTAGGCTATGATTAAATAATTAATACTATTAAATTAGGCCTACTGTGTGTGTGACCAAGTTGACTAGAATTAGTAGAATCCTTCATTATTATTATTATTGACGTTATTTATATTGTTGACAATGACAAGGATAAAAAAAAACAAAAAAAATATATTTTTTTTTAGATTCTGACATCAAAACGTCAGTAAAAAAAAATAAAAAATTAAAGCCCGAAAATAATTGATAAGTTTAATATTATTATTTTTTAAAATCAATGTTTTAATACAAAATTTGCAAAATCAGACCCAGGTTTATTTTATTTTGCCCTCACCATAATATTGAGAGTGATGACTGTACTGTTCTCTTCTCTATGTTTTTTTCCCCCTTTCTTTGCTACCCCCACCCTCAGCCTGTATAATTCTAAAATGTAAACTCACTACAAAAAACAATAGGCCTACTGGCAATAAAACAATATCTACTGTGGCAACATGCCATGCTATAAATATATACGCCTAGCCATGATCATAGAATTACGCCCACACTCAAATGTTTTGGGGACTTGTTACACTGAATCTTAGATGATTTTACAAATCAATATTATGTTACCCATTGCTGTTATAAAAAGTGTCAGTAAAATAATCATCCTCAATCTTTTGTATTGAAGGGATGGTTTTCTGGATCTGGAAGAGTTTGGTGTTTTACTAGAGGAGCTGTTAAATAACAACGATGACTGTCAACAGTCATTGTCAGAAGCTGATGTCAGTTCTTTGTTTTCAATTTTAGATCTTAATCATGTAAGTTTAATTATTTATTCAGCGCATAATGCCCAATTTATCTAGACTTTAAACTGGTCAATAGTTTTTAAAATTGTTTTTACTGAGTAGTGAAATACTGTTAAATTTAATTATTTATTCAGCATAATGCCTGATTTATCTAGATTTGAACTTTACAATAGCTTTTAAAATTGTTTTATCATATTGTAGTAAAATGCAAACATCAATTTACAGGATGACCATCTAAGTGTTGAAGAGTTTCGGTGTGCCTGGCTATACTGGATTAAACAGGTCTGTAACACCTGGTATATTTAACTGTTGTTTGTGTCAGTACACAATCAAGGTGGTCCAACAGCACTTCAAACTATTTTGTTATGTTGGAACTACACAATACGGTAAAACTTACACAGCATAAGTGCATTCAGTAATGTTCATAATTAGTCACAGAACCAGTCTGTTCCAACGCCAGTTTTTAATAATGTTCACATCAAAGGTTTAGAATTTAGTTTTACTTGAAATTTCTATATAAAGCATTTGTTCAAATGGAACTGCCGTGCAATAATTGTAATAATTTTGAGAGGTACAACCTCACATTTTTTTATTTTTGACATGATGCCTCGGTTGATTTCGAACATAGCTGGTTATAGATTTAAATCTCGAGCAGTCTGGTTCCGCGGAAGTGATGGCTCACTCAGAGTCTCTTTCAGGCATCTCTTTGAGGAGGGCAGTGTTCTCTTGAAATTTGTCTATATACACTTCAACCAGTGTGGCGTTGCCCCTCTTTCTCCCCACCCCCCTGAAAAAAACACTGGTTGCACTATCCTATAGCAGTTGCTCTTTTATTACTTCCTCCTCTGTCTCTCCCTTTGTCAGTGAACTCCTCTTTAAAATCTAATTTTAACTTTTCATTCAGACCAGTGGCCAGACTTTCTGCTTATGTACTTAGTACACTCAATAATACAATACATAACATTCAATAGGACCTGTTACAAGGTTTAAAGCAATAGAGAATTGATTGTTTTGTTTTAACTTAAAGCCAGTTATGAAATATTATTTATCTTTAAAATTCAAAAGTATCAATGTACACTGATTAACTATTTTCATGTTTCAGATTTTAAGTCCTGTGAAGGCTTTATTAATAATTGATGTACAGAATGATTTCATCACAGGTAATTGCAGTTGTTTCTTTGTGGTAATACTATCAACATTCTTAGAGGTCATGAATTGATGATTTGAGAGGGGGGGGGGTGTGTAACTCAAAAGCACAGTAGATATTCTCATACAAAAATATTTAACAATTTGACACAGGATGTGAATACCACTGAATCAACATTAACATGTAAATGTCAAGGATCGTAAAAATGAATGGTTATGCATTTTAAAAAGATTTTTACCTCCTCCATTCACAATTACCACTTAAAAGTTTTTAAAAAGCCAGGCGCCCCCCTTCCTACCCTAAAATTGCATACCTCAGACTATCACCCTACTCCACTCCCCCAAACTGCAATTTTTTTTAAAACAACTATTGCATTTAAAAAATTTTACTCTGCTCAGTCAACATTGAGTAAACTGATCAAAAGTATTGCAATTTACCAAAAACTTCTTTGAAAAATTCAAAATAACTGCTAAAATTCAGTACTTTCTAACATTTCTTTTTTAAATTCCCTGTCACTCATCATCACAAAAGTCTGAACCCCCATAAGAATGTGGTGTTTATAGATGACCCCTAAACTACAACTTTTCTCTTATATTGTTATATTCTGTAGCCATTGATTTGTGTGTTGTTTTTTTTTACCATCAGGATCCTTATCCTTGCGTAACTGTCCAGCCAGTCAAGATGCCACTGCTGTGATACCAAAAATTAACACCCTCCTAGAACAGAATCTGTTTGATGTTGTTGTCTACACCTACGACTGGCATCCAGACAACCACATATCTTTTATAGAGAATGTTGGGAAGAGGGCTATTCACCCCTCGTCTAAGGTAGGCTAAACCCACATCTTTTGTTAATCCAAGTATTTTAACAAGATTTTATCCTAGATAATGGTTCACATAATCTGTTTATTTCTCAGTCAGGGGGAGTTTAAAAATATAGAATAGAAACAAAAATACATTGTGTGCAACTGATATTGGATGTGCTTTTATGTTAAATTTACTAAAATGTTACTAGTGGCAGCTGGATACAATAGAAGCAGATGTGGCCAGGAGCCAATTAAAAGTAACTAAAAATAGCTTTCATAGCTATCCACTCACAATTTTTTTTTTAATTAAAGCAAATTGATCTTTAAGCCCCTGTGTGGAAATGGATAAGTTATGTTCTTATTTTTTCTTTAGTATATTTTCAAACCTGATGGTTAATTTAGTTGATAGAGTTTGCCTGTTTCTATGAACTCAGCATATTAAGGGATAGTGTGCTTTGTTCAATTCCCAGTTGCCTTTACTATCCCTAATGTGAGTCAGGTACCTATAAGAGCTGGGCGGACTCAGGGATGTCCTAAAGACTCAAGCCTGTGATCTGAACTTGTGACTTTTGGGTTAACAACCACATGCTCTACCAACTGACAGCACCATGTTATGTTTTATCTTTTAAAGTAAAGTAAAAGTAAAGATTCCTTTTTTACACCTAACGATCCATTGGGCAGATGAAGTGGAGTTCATTTGATTCTTGACCTCGGCATATAAAGGGATAATGTGGTCAGCACTATGCCCAGCCACCTTTACTTTCCCTAACGCAAGTTAGGTACCCATCAGAGTTGGGTGGACTCAGGGATGTTCCAATAACTTGAACTCGGATTTTAAACTCAAAACTATCGGGTTAGCAGTCTAGTGCTCCACTGTTGGTCACACCATCCCATATGTTTAATCTTTTAGGTGGCCTCTAAAACTGAGATGATATATCCAGATTTATTGTTCTTGTCAGATAACAGCTGAAGATGCCAAAATCCAGGACAAGGTTGTGTTTGAGGTTGATGGAACAGCCAGAGAGCAGATACTGTGGCCAAAACATTGTTTACAGAACAGTTGGGGCGCAGAGCTCCACCCTGACCTGAAGGTGATGTCTGTTTGATTCTGGAAATAATTAATTATAATGGCAGTTGTTCTTAATTAAACTAATTAAGTTAAAGATTAAAAAACTTTCAGCCATAGATTTACTAATGCTCATACGTTTTTATTGGTAAAGCAATTTTTTTTTCTTAACTATAAAAATTATTTTTTTAAACTGTGCCCAAAAATGTCTGTTTATCAAATTCAAATATTTGATTAAATTAAGTTTATTGACTAATTTAATATCTTTGAAATTTATTAACATTTTGTTGACAGGTGTAAATAGATTAAATTATTGGTTGTTACAAGTTTTTTTAATTTACAATTAACTTAAATATACTTATAAATTTTAGTACAGTGGATTGGAATTTTTTTTTTTCTGTGACTATTGATAATGGTTGTATATTTACATTTCAAAAATGTTTCTTTTGTTTAATTTTATTATTTTTGTTTTAGATTGTTATTTAAAAAATATGCTGCAATTCTTCCTCAACTGGTATCACATGAACATTTTTAGATGTAAGTTTTTTTCTCTTCCTTGTGATATGTAATCAGGTTGTTGAAAACGCCTACCACATCTACAAGGGGGTTAACCCAGATGTGGACAGCTACTCCGCCTTTTGGGACAATCAAAAACTCTCCCAGACAGACTTAGTCAACATACTCAAGCAGCACGGTGTTACTGATGCTTATGTTTGTGGGCTTGCATATGATGTTTGTGTTGGTAGGTTTGCAATGTGGGCTTGCCTATATGTGGGCTTGTTTTTGTAAGCTCCTGGGCTTGAAAAATGTTGGTTTGATTGGGGCTTGCATATTTCATTTGACAGATTGGATGTAGGCTTGCATATGATTATAATACTTGTTTCAGATTGCAATGTACATGTTGTATGTGTTAGCTGGTCAGGCTACTTCTAGATATTTATGATTTTAAAAAAATGCTTTTTTAGTTCATGCAGAAAGCAGCATGGTCTACAGCTTGACTGCTAGCCTGAGGGTTTTGAGTTCAGATCTAGGGCTCCCGGTCAAAAACCCCCTGGACATAAACCCCCCCGACATAAACCCCCTGGACAAAAACCCCCGTGATATAAACCCCCTGGACAAAAACCCCCCGCGATATAAACCCCCTGGACAAAAACCCCCCAATTGAGGTTTATATAAGGAAAAACCAAAGATGACGAGAAACAAAATTAATATAAAAATACAAAACAAACATTAGGAAAAAACTTTTATTTTTATTATAACTTTAAAAAGACAGATTGTGAGCGATGCCTTGCAAATACTCAATAATGGTGGACTCATTAAAATTTTTAACAACAGTTAAAATTCGAGAGCTGCTATCAATATATTTTTTTTTCTGTTTTGGTAAACAGTGACCTGAATTAATCTGTGTACAATAAACCTCTTGGAGAGATTGTTCCTTTTTAATAAAGTCAATAAATTTCCAAATATTTGGTTGGCAACATCCCATATGCGACTGAAAACTTCTGTGCCAGCCTTCAACTGAGTTGTTTGTTTTTGGCATATGGTCTTCTGCACGTGTGTGCATGTTCCAAATGTCAAGTGGAAACATAGGTTGTCTTCGACCTCGACGTTGTGGTCTGCCAATATAGTAGTCCTCAAAGTAGTCTGCAATCGGCATTGCTTCTTGGGGGAAAATTTCCAATAATTTTTAAAAGGCATAACTCATGTGTTCGATGGGAACAAAGGCCAACGCAGGTAGCATTCTCAGCTTGAGAGCAAATTCGCTATCAACTTGATAGAGTTGTTGAAGGCCAGAGTCCTGAATTTTTCTGTATATATTTTGGCTAAGATGGAAGAAACATCCTTTTACCTCACACTCTGGAAATACCCTTTCAACACTTTTTATCACAGCCATTTCAAAGTCAATCATAATAGAAATTGGTTGCAGGTTTGTGTTTAAGACCGTTAGCTGCTGTAAGAGTGCTGTGTATGTTTCCTGTGTTTTGTTTTGAAGCAAGGCATAAACACATGGAACAGTGCGTCCATTGACCAATGCATGGACTGTGTACAGTTGTGAAAACAATGCAGGAGCTGTTTTGAATGTACCATCCATAAACCAGTGCTGATTAACCTCCAATAACCTAAGGTTGTCCTTGGTTCCAAACAAAAACATCCTACCTTTTGATTTGGCACCGGAATCGAACAGAAGCTCCCACACGGCTCCCACATGTGGATGACCTATATCTAAGGTGTTGTCGGTGCCCGATCTTTGATCAAATACAACTAAGGTCACTCCTTGATTTCGAAAAGCATTTTTTTAGGTAGAAACTATTTTCTTAGTCGTAAAAAATTAAATTAATTTAATGTAATTTTTTTTAAATTTCTTGGTTCACATCATCGTTATTTTTTCTTTATATAAACCTCAGTCCGGGGGTTATTATCCGGGGGGTTTATATCGCGGGGGGTTTATGTCGCGGGGGGTTTATGTCCAGGGGGTTTTTGACCGGACACCCAGATCTAGGTCTGGACTTGTAACTGCAGCACATCCTTCAGTTTCCCCAGCTCAAAATGGTACCTGACTTGCATTGGGGAAAGTAAACTCAGCTGGGCCCAGTGCTGACCCCACCATCTCTTCATATGCCGAGGTCAAAAAACATAACTACTACTTCCTCTGTGCTATGAATTGTTAGGTTCTAGAATGTGACCTTTACTTTTTAGTTCATACAGAGATGACAAAAAAACAACTAAACCAATAAAATTGTATCAGCTTTTACTTTCTTAGTTCATACAGAGATGACACATCAGAAAAAAACTAAAATGATAAAATTGTTTCAGGTTTTACAGCCCGGCATGCAATCAAACATGGCTTCAGGACTGTTGTGATAGAAGATGCTGCAAGAGGAGTCACCTTAGATGGTATTTGTAAAACAAAAACCAAGCTCTCTACCAAAGGCATTTTTACAGCAGAAACAGACCAGGTAAATTAATTACAGGCTAGCAGTGCTTAAAGTGGTGGTCAGTGGAAGAATGCCATTTATGATTTATACAGGCTAGCAGCGCTTAAAGTGGTGGTCAGGGGAAGAATGCCATTTATAAGTGTCTTCAACTTTCTGTTTGTTAGTGTAACTTTGTTAATACTTAAAATACATTCTGGGATTAATTTTGAAATTTGTCTGGCACTGGCATTAGTTTTCATAACCAAAATCCTTTTATTAGTTGTGGTTGGAAAACTGAAGATAACATTAGATGTCATTATAAAGGAGAGGATTTGCATAGTTGTAAATATCTAATATTTCACAAGCACTTTCAATGTGTCAATTTAGTATTTTGTTTATCTATATAATCTATAAGTATAATAGTTGGACACTTCTTTTAACTAAAATTTGTAAAAGACCACTGAGCCACACTTTGACCTTTACAGCACACATTCAGCTTATTTATTTCCTATCATGTATGTTGGATAGCTGATAGAAATAATATTTCCTGCTGTTGTAGGTATCTAGGCTTGTGAAAGTTGAATGGCTGATTGAAATAATAGTCCTGCTATTGTAGGTACCTAGGCTTGTGAAAGTTGAATGGCTGATAGAAATAATAGTCCTGCTATTGTAGATACCTAGGCTTGTGAAAGTAAAATAGTTAATAAAAATAATATTCTTGCTGTTGTAGGTACCTAGACCAGGGGTCGGCAACCTTTTGAAGCGGAAGAGCCAAAAGTTACAATTTTCAAAATTTCCCTGGTTTTAAAGAGCCACTAACATTTTTTTAATTTCAAATATTTTATTTTTTTATTAAGATTATTAGTATTCGTTCAAGGAGCTGGAGAGCCGCATCTTGAATGAAAAGAGCCGCATGCGGCTCGCGAGCCGCAGGTTGCCGACCTCTGACCTAGACTAGTGAAAGCTGAATAACTAATAGAAATAATATTTCTTACTCTTGTAGGTACCAAGGCTTGTGAAAGCTGAGCTACGTCCAGCGTGTCTGGCTAACCAAGCAGCCTTCAACTACCGGCAAGCCTGGAGCATTGTTCAAGAAAACTCATCTCTTGCATAGATGAGCAGCTGGTACACTTTAAATGCCATGTGATTTACCTCAAACAGAATCATTTTCTTTTTGTTTCCGTGATTTGTTTTTACAACAGAAGAAAATTTTAACCAGAGATAATAAAAAAAAAGAGTTAAATATGTAGACTGATTTAAGAAAATGCGGAAGAGTTGCATTTTGGAGTAATTGAACAACACTGAATCTGCCTTGATATTTTGAAAGAGGAATGAGGATACATTTCCTAACATGGCAGCAGAAGCATTTGATTATTCTGACTAACAGAACTTAGCATATTTTATAAGTGCTAATTTTGTTGATGTGTAGTATCTAATTTAATATCACAACCTGCTTTAACATTATGGGCATTTTAAAAGAGAAGTTGCTGATAACTAAACTTAAGCAATACTAATGATGGTACTTAAAAATTGTTTTTTCTTTCATGTAAGAGATATTATTTACGCTTTGTTTTATTTTCAAAATATTTACATTAAATGTTAATGTCTTAGAGCAGCTATTATTTTTTCACAAGAAATAAGGTTCACAATATATAATCACAACTGCTTTTTCTTTTTTGACGCCTGTTAATAAATTTATTCAAATTTTTTTTTACCCCAACAAGAAGCAATCAGTAGTTACTGGATGCATTCGTTTCACGAGAGGTTTAGTCTTATAATTACAACACAAAGTGATGCCATTCAGTTTTGGTCAAAATGAGACAGTGAATGTTAAAAACAGAATTATTGTGTCATTAGTATTTAATTTCATAAGAGGGGATTACTTTTAATAGCTTTTTTTCCCCTATCCACTTGATAAAACTTTAAAACTTCATTTATTTTATAATGAACCATTTAGCAAAATTAGAATTCTTTAACCATAACATTTTACATTTCGTAAAACTTAAATCAGTAAAAGATTAATTTTTTTATTAATAGAGAAGTCAAAAAATAAATTGTTATGCTTTTATTTGTTTTCATTATAAAGAAAACAATGGAAACTAACTAAATTGGCTGTGATCGAATGATAATTTTCTGGTTACAACATTTGTTGTATTTTTTGTTTCGTTTTAATAATGTTATGATATACCTGGTAATTATTTTAAAATACATCTGTTGTAGCTGTAAAGCTTGAATTAATTTTCCTACTGGACTGCTTAATATTTTGTAATACAACTGCTGCTGCCTCAGTAGAGCAATACCAAAGTACAGCTTGATCATATCATTATGTAGTGGGGTGGCCCAAAGTAGGGCTTAATCATATCATGTTGTGTGGCTCAAAGTAGGGCTTAATCATATCATTATGTGGTGGGGTGGCCCAAAGTAGGGCTTGATCATATCATTATGTAGGAGTGTGGTCCATAGTAGGGCTTGATCATATCATTATGTTGTGTGGCTCAAAGTAGGGCTTGATCATATCATTATGTAGGAGTGTGGTCCATAGTAGGGCTTGATCATATCATTATGTAGGGGTGTGGCCCAATCCTATCATTATGTAGTGGTGTGGCCCAATCATATCATTATTTAGTGGTGTGGCCCAACCATATCATTATGTAGTGGTGTGGCCCAATCCTATCATTAACTTGTGGTGTGGCCCAATCATATCATTTGGAGTGGTGTGGCCCAATCATATCATTTTGTGGTGGTGTGGCCCAATCCTATCATTATCTAGTGGTGTGGCCCAATCATATCATTTGGAGTGGTGTGGCCCAATCATATCATTATGTGGTGGTGTGGCCCAATCATATCATTTTTTGGTGGTGTGGCCCAGAATAAAGCTTAATCATAGTGGCCCAAAGTAAGTTAATCATTGTTATCATTATATAGCGATGTGCCCAACGTAAAGATAAACATATATGTGGTGTGTCCCAAAGTAAGCCTGAATCATATTATGTAGTGTGGCAGATTCTTAGCCCTCTCAAATACTGCACACATATAACATTCTAGCTGACAAAAGAAAATTACCAAGGAAATCTTTTTTATTGGCTGTTGTAAATTTTATGTTATACAGATTCACTTTTGTGACAGAATTTTTGTAAAAGTGGTAATAATAATAACCATGAAGCAAATATATCTTGCTTTAACAAGTACTTGATTCCCTATATTCAACTTTTGAACCTGAAATATATTTACTTGTTGCTGTACTTTAAGTATAAAATTTATTATTTTGATGTTACGTATTTTAAAATATTGAATCAAAATCATTCCAAAATCAACCAAATAACAAGGAAACTCTTAGATGTCATTCTATTTTTGTAAAATTTGAGATGTTGTGTCATATCTAAAAAAAAAAAAATACCTGAATGTTGTTTATCAATTTTTACTGTAAACATTGTGATTTTATCTCTAGTCCCTGCAAAAAGTTTATACAAGCATAGATATATATTTTTTTTAAAATGTTAATATTTGTAAATGGAAATGATGCCTCAAGATCGATTTCTTTAATTCATATTTTATAACATAATCAAAAGTATTTTTACATTATCTATTGGTTTATTTCATATAGTGATCTAATCAGTTTTAAGGTTCAAATGATGTTCTGAAAGTACATAATAATTTGCCACTTATTTTTTTGATGGTCAAACAGCCAAACAACTTGTTTTTTTATTGAGGCAATGTTCATTTTCAATTTTTTTAGCATAGTTCAGTACACTTGCTTTTATTTCACCATGTTTAATACACACATCATTAAATCCCTATGTTTGCATTTTACTTTAAATACGTTAATGTTCTTTTACAAATAACCAAAATAAGACTAGTCACATAAAGCTTTTACTCTTTAAAACAGATGTTAATTTATTTCTCATATTTTTATTAGAAAAAAAAAATGTTTTTCTCACTCCCTTATACAATCTGTTAGGAAAGGTTTCCACCTGCTTACCCTCAAGTTGACATTCTGATTGTAGCCAACTAACACAGACCATGATAATTGCCTGGTTAAGAGCATGACAACAATCCTCTAACCTCATGTTAATGCAGGGGTAGATATAAATACTTGATGCTTAACAACAATTTCATGTGAAAAGTGTCTGACAACATAGTCATTTCACCAGGCCTTCATTAGCAGGCATCCTAAGTCTGGCATACTACACAGATTAATGTAAATCAGAACTATTGCATGCTTCAGTACTAAAATTTTTACCTAAAATTTAGTCAAATTAACTTTTTTTTTTACTTACCAATACTATTGGTAATTAATTTGAGAAAATTTTTTAAAATAAATCTTGCACCACATTTAAATAGATGATAATTGTACTTGTACTTTCTTTTACCCATATATATTCCAAAATGTTTCCACCATAATTATTGTTGTTGTATCATTTACTACTATGTTTTATAAGTGCACACTTTGTATTCAATATGCAAATGTTTTCATTTTTTAAATGTGATGAAATGTTTTGCAATTGCCTTTGCTATGAATTCTTTAAAGAAAAAACTTTTTATCCTACAAAACAGGTAATAGTTTTCTAATTTGTAGTAAAGCTATTACTGTAATTGGGATCTTTTTAATTTCCAATGAAAAATAAAATGATTCGAGATCTGAGATATTGATACATTTTATGCTTATATATTGTTTAGGTACCACGTGTAGAAAATATAATCTAAGAACTGTGTGTTCCTCAATACTTTTTGAATAAAGATTATTTATAAGAATTATTTAGCTTTATTAAGTATATTAATGCAGTGGAAAATATGAAATTTAAATATCAATAAATCAAATGCAGATGATCATTTTTATGTATGCTTTTTTACAAAGAGAAAGTAAAACTAATGTCAAGCATTTCTATACATAAACAACATGTAAGTAGACAAGTTCCAGATCATTCACTGTGATCAGTATTTCACCAAACTGCTTCCATAAATTCTACTAACAGTAATATAACAAATAGCTAACAGATACAGAAATAATATTGAATAAAGTGTAGAAAAAAAATTAAGACCTAGATCTACATATTTATTTGAATCAATAATTATTTTAATCACATTCTTAAATAGTAACTAATTTCACAAGAATTGTTGATTATTATAAAAACAGCATTACACATGTCAATACAAACAAAATGCAAAGAACATTATAATCACTTAAGAACATAATTTTATTTCCAAATTACCAGTCCTTAAAATAAGTGGTTGTATGTCATTTTCAAATAGGACTTGTAAGTTATTGTTATCTCTCACTTAAATTCAAGTTTTGTTAGCCAGGGAGAGGTACAATTTTTCTAACTAAATCAATTGTTGTGAATGTGATGCCTATTGATAACAAAAAACATGGCGGCTATTTGTTAGTAGGTCCTGCTCCAAGATTTAAAAATCATCAAACGTTCCAGAAAATGCAACAATTGTAAAAACTTTCTAGGCTATTTTGTACTTATGGCTGGGAACAAATATATGTGCTGAATATTAAAGTTTTGTGGTGGTGAGTAGATCTATATGGATTTGTTAATTTGTTTACAGTTAGAGTAAGGAAGCTAGGGGACGGGTAAAACTCCATTTTAGCGTATTTTATTCTCCGCTTCTTGGTTACCTCCAGATGAGCGTATTTTATTATAATAACCGAAACACACCAAAACATTAGGAAAACACGATCAAAACATTAGGAAAACACGATTTAATTATTTGTATTGTATTTTTGTTTTAACAAATTATTAAAAATGAATATTTAAAAAACACGACTTATTTATTTGTATTGTATTTTTTGTTTTAATAAATGAATAAAAATGAATGTAAACCACAAAGAGACTGACTGAAATGCTTTGTTTGTTGGTTACAAATAATAAAAAAGGTAGTCACACAAATTCAATTCAATGCAAAAAGTAATAGTAATAATATTCTTTTAACAAAAAATAAATAAATATAAAATGATGATTTTAATTTCAAATTGTTATATATCTGCATCTTCGCCATGTAGAATCCAGTTACGTCAAACCCCAAATGGGTTGGCAAAATATATTTTTCCATGCTCCCGATCTCCCGGTAACTTCCGGTTAATTTTTGTTTAGTGTTCCAATCTTATTCAAAAATCCAAAAAGTGCTGTATTTAAAAATATATATATATTAACATTTGTGGTTGATTTTCGTATCAGTTCTGTTTATAATTTATTTAATTGTTATAAACTATGCAACATGGCAGGAAGACCAAAAGTAGAACGTACTTCCATTGTAGATCCTGCCGAAATTTTAGATGCCGCATTCGTTGAACATGAAATCTGGTGCATCCCATCACTGGCACTAATCCTAAATGAGACAGAGTCTGCCTTGATATGGCTAGCCAAGCGTAGGTTGCTACGCAATACTATGATTTGTGATAGTTGCAAAGAACTATGCAAACTAATGACATATCGCCAAGGAATAGATGAGAAGAGGTGGGCGTGTCAACCATGCGGATTTAGGAAAAGTGTCTGTGAAGGTTCATTCTTCACAAAAAGCCACTTGACCTTGAAACAGATAATAATGATGATTTACTGCTTTGCGCAGGATATGCCGCAAAGTCTTAGCAGACATGAGGCGCAAATTGAGAATGAAAAAACTGTGATTGATTGGTTTAACTTTTGCCGGGAAGATTCGGCGAGATTTTTGGAGCGGCGGCCAACTGAGATTGGAGGCATGGACGAGCATGGAAATCCAATAATTGTGGAGATAGACGAGTCCAAATATTTTCATAGAAAATATCATAGCGGTGCATGGCATGAGGGCCATTGGTTTTTTGGAGGGGTAGAAAGAGGATTGGGCAAGTGTTTTTTGATAGAGGTTCCGGACCGGACAGCTGCCACTCTGGAGCCAATCATATTAGACCATATCCTCCCTGGAAGTCACATAATATCTGATGGTTGGGCCTCATACAATAACATTGGCAATTTGGGGAACGGTATATATACGCATTCAGTGGTGGTCCATGAGCGCCACATTTTGTGGACCCTGACGATGCCGACATCCACACTCAGAATATAGAAAATCTGTGGATGAGGGCCAAAAGGAAGCTAAAACGACAATTCGGAACCAGCCGAATTCTGTTTCCATCGTACTTAAAAGAATTTGAATATCGGTGTTCCGTTGTAGGGGGGAATGTTTTCAGCTCATTCCTTTTGGTGCTGGCTGAATTGTATCCAGTCTAACTCTACTATCATCCACTATTCTTCAATACTACTTTCTAAAACCTAATAAAAAATCTATCGGTTTTAAACTTCAACTGCTATCTAAGTGTTCTACTTTCTCTTTGGTTAGGCTATACATCTTTCTACTGATTTCTACCTAGTGACCAATGGCTTCCTACTTGAATTGCTGAACTATTTCTGTTGCATAAACGTGTGTCGTCACGCTTAGTAACCTGTCACAAGTTATTTTGTGTAGGCCTACTTTTTAAAAAAAAAAGGCATTTGTCTCCTGGTGAAACTGATACACTGTTAATTATTCTTTATTATAGTTTTGTATTGTATTTATGCTATATCTTACTATGTTATTTAAATTCATAGAACTATCATTTCCAATATTTTGATATAATTATCAAGTATGTTTCTGTATGAGTACATTTTTCATGATTTTTGTATTTCATTTAAATGTACAAACTTTGTGTTCATTTTTATTTGACAGTTTTACAAAAAAACTGAAAAATATTTATACTGTATAGTTTACGTTATTTACATTCATAGAACCATCCTTCCCAATATTTTGGTTTAATTATCATGTATGTTTTTTTTTTACCTCCCCCCCCTCCCCGTCACACATCATCACAAAATTACCCCCCCCCCTTCCGGCAGCATTATTAATTATTATTATGCCTTTCATTCAGTTTAGTTGAAATTGAACACTTATTTGTACAAATTGTGCATTTCTATTTTTTGTAACCAACAAACAAAGCATTTCAGCCAGTCTCTTTGTTGTTTTTATTCATTTGTTAAAACAAAATAAAAATAAATAAATCGTGTAGCATTTCAGTCAGCCTGATTGTTGTTTTCATTAATTTTTATTCATTTGCTAAAACAAAAATACAATACAAAAAATAAATCGTGTTTTCCTAATGTTTTACCTAGGGGACGTTACAGTTACGCTACTCAACTGACTAATAGCTACTAATACTAATAAATCCAGATCTAAGATGTAGATTTTAAGTTTAGTTAAGTAGTAGTCTACTTGTTTGTAGTATTGTAAAAAACCAGATCATGTATTAGACATGCAGGGTCATTTAAGTAGTCTAAGACTAGGGACTGAAAATACTAAAGGCCTAAATAATACTATATATTATTGAATTAATAGAGTATAAAAATTAATCAAATGGTCAGAGTCAGTAGGGTTGGTAATTTTTAATAGAATATGTGTCATGTCGCATCAGTGTTAAATTTTGTTTTATCAATAAGTACAAAATGTAGTTACAGATTTACTGGCTACAATTTTTTGCAACATTTATTTATACTATTGAGATTATAAGAGAGAATTCTGGGTATAAGCATTTTGTGTCCATTTATTTTTCCAGATAACCTGAATTTAATCACTGCACATAGACCTTTAGTAAACACAGAAGAAGGCACCCTACACAACTTTCTAGATAATCAAGACTAATCAAGACTTAATCTTAATCAAGACTATCAACAAAACATGAAATAAAATGTGTCCGCTAATGAAGGTTGCATTCAAGACTGCACTTTGTGCAATATCAGATGAAAGTAAAAAAAAAAATGTTTCCTGGAAAAAATGATAACTGGCTCAAGCTACAATCAAATGCCTTTACAATTTATAACTAATTTTGTCAATAAAAATTTGAGAATAAAAAAACCCCTTTATCTTTTGATGTGGGATTAGTTTTTGTTTATTGAGTTTTATTCTTAATATTTGTGTACTCAAGTATTGACAACATTTTGGTCTATAGGTTAACACAGAAAAAAAAAGTACAGGTATTGGCAAGGATTAAAAACACAGAACTAATAAACCTTTCTTTCTGGTAAATAAAGTTCATGATTATGATATGTTATGGGTCATTGCGAGGTCAGATTAGAATAGGTTAGAATACTCTAGAACTCAGGGGAGAGTGAATGTGTGAGTTGAGTTCACCCTACTGTATAGTAACCCAAGTGTGTTTATGTATAGTGATCCCAAGGTCGAATGGTATAAAATTGTGAGTGAATGATTGTGGAAGGTCAGCGCGTTAGTTGGTATTACTCTGGAATGTGAATATTTGAGACCAAATAAACGTAAAGTCGTTATGGAGTTGAAACTAACCAGGCCGTAACATGATACTTAGATTTAGTAACTCAATAATTTCATTATAGAAACATTTTAATCACAAAAAAGTAAAATACTTCTATTGTCAACTGCCTATTTTAAAATAATCACATCAAGTGGAAATATTTTAATATAAACAACGAAACACCAGTTATTCAATCAAACTTAAACTAAATCTCATTTTTAATTTAAATTCAAATATTTTATACTTTGATGTTATTAGGACAATATTTCTGAGAAAAAAATATTTACACAATGACCTACAACGATTACAACTCCGGTCAACAGTTAGAACTACAAGTGGTGGTCGTATCAATAAATATACTTATCACCTTTGTGTTGACACTGATTTTATTCATAAGAGGTTGTTTTTTTTTGTCCAGTATAGCTGGAATTTTATATTTATTCAGAATAGCTGGAAGGATTAATGTCCAGTATACTTGAATGTTTTTGTGTGGCCCAGTAGAACTGGGGTTTTAAGGTTTGCTCAGTATAGCTGGAGGGTCAATTCCCAGTAATAGTTTGTAGCTGGATATTTTAGTTTGGTTTACCCAGTATAGTTGGTGTTGGCCAATTGAAGTGTCTAAGGTGATAGCCCTACTTTTAGTGTTTTAGTTGTGAGAGTAAGACTTTTTTTTTTAAGTTAACCGCCACTGTTTAACTGGACTAGTTCTTAACAATGGACATAATG